GCGAGAGCTGCAATGTTTCCGACTACACTAGAAGTCGTTTCTGCCCCCACCCCAGAGGAAGGCAGTGTGAGTCTCAGAAAGTAGGAGCTTAGCCCAGCGGAAGGGCACTCCCCACAATCCGCCTGCCTCACAGGGTAGCAGAGGAACTGCTGGTGGGCTGAAAACCTGGCTCAAAACCACATGGGTAAAAACCTTTTTTTGGATTCTCCTGTTTTATCTCTCAAGTTTGTGGGCATTTTGCATTTTACTATAACATATGCCATCATCGTTTTACTATAAAATGTTATTTCAAACATCTGGATAACATCCCTGCACCTCCAGGAAGGCATCTTATTGATCCCGTGGTTTTGAGCCCTAATACATTCTGGCCACTCCCACCTTCACCCTCCACCCAGGGTAGAAGGACCCCGTTTGTAAAAGCATGGTCAGGCTGGTAAGCTGCAATTTCACTCGTTGCCTTTTCTTGGGGGGGATGGGGGGAATCTTATATAAGAACTTTCAAGGACTCTGGGTCTGGGGGATACCCTCTTGCTGGTAGAAGAGGCTGTTCATTTCTTTCGCTCAGGCCTTGTCCCCAGGGACAAGCAGCTGGGCATCAGTGAAGGGCCCCTGTGGACCATGCAAAGGCCCCATTCTCTCATCTAGGGATATACTAATTTGTCACCAGGGCCTACAAAGGAACTGACAGGTGGATCCTAACTCCCACTCACCGTCTTGTGGGACCATCCAGGCTTCCATCTCAGGGTGGCCAGCTTCATGTGACATCCCCCTCCCCCCTGCCACACTCACCTATAGGACCTACCCCATCCCCAGGCTCCATGGCTCTCAGGAAAGCACAGTCATATCTACAGAACACAATCACCATGGCAGGGCCCTACAGATGATGACTGAGGCTCAGAGAGATACAGTCACTTGCTCAGAGTCACAGAACTCCTCGGTGGCAAAGCCTGGCCTTTTGGCAAAGTTGGCTGCACCTCCTATAACGGACACTTTCCTGTGTAGCACCTGCATCCTGCTGATAGTCAGAGGCCGAGCTCCCCAGGGACAGGGCCTGCGCTCTTCTGTCCCCCTAGCACTGGTCCTAACACTGAGCTAGGCCTATTAGGTTGCTCTCGAGTGCTTGCTGATTTTAATCAGCATCAGCAGCCCCTGGTCAAGACCCATGTCTCTGCCCACTGGCTGACTTCTGGGGACTCTGACTTCCTGAAAACATGGCTTTCTACCTCAAGACAGCCTGCCTGGGGAAATCCCCACTGCTCGGTCTACCCCTCCACCTGCCTCTCTGCCCCAGGCCTGAGGAAGACACAGCCTCAAACAATAGCCTCCAAACTGCAGGGCTGGCCTCCAGGTCTCTCCCAGAACTGTCCTTTACACCTAGGGCTGGGCAGAAACCTGTCAGTCCCCTAGTCCCTGTGGGAAGGGAATGGGCTGGGGGACTGCCCCAACCCACACTCCCTGCCTTTGCTTAGATCACTGAGCCAGGCTTGGAGGGCCTCCCCCTCCCTCCTTTAACCCCCACCCCCACCCCAATACACACACATAAGCTTCCAGGGAACAACCAAGCCAGGAACTTGTCTTAGGCAAATGGAGAGAGAAAAAGTCTAAAGTAGTAGTTCTTAACCCTGGCTCCCAGAAGGAGGGCTTTTAGAAAAGTACAGATACCTGGGACCCCACTCTAGACCACTGAAGTCAGACTACCTGTGGGTGGGATAGGATGCAGGTCTGGTCTGGTACTGGTATTTTAAAAAATAATCTCTGGTCTGTGATTTCCATCAGATTCACAGATGTATCCCACAAAGGGTTAAGCACTAATATGGTTATGCCATTAGTTAGTGAAAGGCCCCAGCAGGGTTTACACAATACCAGACCCCCAGGCCAGGCCAATCCCTTCCTCTTTCAGGACTGCCAGCTTAAGGGCCAAGGGACAGATCTCAGCTTTGTTGGGGTCCCACGGGCAGGCAGAACAGAAGACGGCAGCAGCCTTTTTCTTCTACTGCCTAAGGGGATCCTGCGGCAGACTTCAGACTTTGTGCGCTTCCAGCAAAAATCCTATCCCAGCCTCCCAGGAATCTCAGAGCCTGTCCCTTCAGCCCTCAGTACTGAGCCCTACACTCCCCTTACATGCTGGCTGAGGGAGAGGCCATCCACTGGGTAAGGGCCAGAAGGGAAGCAGGGCCTCAAGGCCTCAGCCCTGTCCAGGGTCCTGACTCCTGGCCGAACACTTTCTTCAGCCTGGGACACCTCCCTCAGTGTAAGAAGGCCCCCTGATATGCACTGGGAAGGGCAGCCCCTCCTGTCTCACCTAAACCCTTTACCAGTTGTTGGTTCACTATGTGCCCACTGCCAGTGCTATGCTAAGCACCCTGGTCCTCAAATCTGCCACCCCACCACTGTCCACATTTAGAGATGAGGAAACAAAATGAACCACAGGTTCCATGGCTCTGCAGCCACCAAGGAGGGTGGTTTTGGCACCATGCACATCGCTCTGCAAGCATTTCCGCTGGGGACTTGTGCCAGACTGACAGCAGACTGTGTGACCAGCCCGACAGCCACCCCACAGGCTTCTTTCTCAGGGGGACTGGGCAATGAAGCTCCCAGAACCCCTTTCACCAGGGTGTCCAAAGCCCTCAGCCCCCAGACCCAGCAGATTAGAAAGCCCCCGCCCCCCCAACCCATTTACAGAAGAGAAGGGAGCAGTCCAGTGAGATTTAGTGCAAACATTGTCTGCTGAAAAACCCTTGCTTTCATCTCTGCCCTCTTATGAGCCAAGTAATTTGGAAGCCTTCATTGAGAGTTTCTCTCTGCCCCATGATAACTCGGAATTTATGCCGGCCATGGCTCAACCTTTTCACTTAGGGGATGAAGGAAACCTCACAGGCTGCTCTCCAGCCTACTGTGAGAGGAAAAGTTTGTCCTTGGTGACAGTTCAAGGCGGGGAGGACTTCCTCAGTCCTCCCAGAGTCCAGGACTGGAGGAGGAAGGCATCTCCCAGTCAGACTTCAGAGCCACCAGAGGCTCCTGTGCTTGGACCCGGAGCCATGTGTGGCCAGTCCCCAGCAGGGCTCGGCATTGATACCCTTACTGTGGTTTGACTCTATTTTTAGGTGGGCAAAGGTACAAAGGCTCTGGGCTGGAAAACCCAAGAGGCAGGGGAATTTTCTGCCCCATGCAAATCGCTTTCTTCTTGGCCTTTCGGCCTTCGATAACACCTGTTTCCTCTCAGCAGGGTCTGATCCTGAGTGTAGAAGGCAGCCCCTCCTCCCACCGGTGCTTGTGCTTGGAGGGAGCAGAGCAGGGGGAAGAGACTAGCTTGAGCTCGTCCTGGAGTCAGGGGAGTGAGCCAGCCCTAGGAGCTCCCCAGAATCTCCACCATCACCCCTCCCCCGACCCCAGCCTCCAATCTGAACAGCCACTGAGAGCAGCAGGCAGGTGGGATTCTCTGAGAGGCAGGTTCCTCACATCCAAAATGGGCATGACGATTCCTGATTCCCAGGACTAGGAAGGCACATAAAGGTGGCTACTGTTTTACTAATTCAACCATAGCACCTGGAGAGTACCTGTGGGTTTCAAGACTGGGGTAAGGTCCCAAGCCACCTTGAGGAGGCAGGGCTCCCAGGGCCCCACCTGCCTTTTGCTTCCCTGGCTGCATTTAAGCATATCCCATTCACCCACCATGCAGGGCTCCTTCAGGAGATCAGTAAGAGCCTCAAAATAGTGTCTTCCCACCCCCACCTCATCCCTAGCATTGCATTCCCCCCCTTAACAGCATTCCTGGAGATAGCTCCATCCATCTCCACCCCACCCCCATGGGCCATGGAAGGTTTGGGGGAAATGGGACATCAGGTCTCAAAGGATCCCACCCCCACCTCCCAAGGGGAGAGTCCCAGGGCAGGGCAGCTCCCCTGAGGTGCAGTGCTTTTTCAAATGCAAAGCTCTGTGGAACATCCCCCTCCCACTGGCTAAACTACTGCTCTTGTGGTGAGGGACGGGAGAGGAGGCCTCCTCACCAACAAAGACACTCTCCCGCACCCATGCCAAGGGCTCTGCCCTAGAACTCTGAGACTTCCACCCTTGGCACTGTTAGTCCCAAGGATTTCAGGTCTTTATCTACAACAGGAGGACTAAGAACTCTGGACTAGTTATAATCAATAGAAAGTAGTGTCCAGACCCATTGTAGGCTGCAGAACAGTGTTTGCCTAAAGCCAGGTTGGAAACCCCCACCTTGCAATACTCTTGTAGCCCATCTGTGCCAAAGGCCTCTTCTGTGCCCAGTACAGTGAATGGCACTGGCATTAGCACTGAAGACCTAAAAGGGAGCAGTAAGGCCCTAGGATGTGATTTTTCAGGGCTGCAGGAAGCAGGGTCCTAATGTCCATTCATTTACCCACGCCCCATGCTCTTCTACACAGCTCCAGAGGCCACAAACCCCTCTACTTTGTGTAAGAAACATCCCAAGTCAAAGTAGGGCTTAAAATGCAGACACACATGAAATGGGCATAAGGAGCAGATGACTAACTGGACAGCTCTGAGGACCCCATCCTTTACCCCTACACTAGCAAATCCTGTCATCCTTGGCTCGGCCTCCAAAATGTCCCAAATCCTGCTGCTTTTTACTCCGCTGCCACCACCTAGCTCTAAGCCACAATCCTTTCTCTCCTGGACAATTGCAGCTGGTCTCCCTTCTCTCACAGCAGCCAGTGGGACCTTTTAAGACACTAGGCTATGTCATTATCCTGTTTATGATCCTGGAAAGGCTTCCCCTCTCGCTGAGATTAACAGGAACACCTTTACAGCAACCTGCAAGGCTCAGGTGAACTCACCCGTACATCCCACCCCTCCCACCCCGCCGCACTGGCCTCCCTCTGTGCTGCCCACGCCCTCTGCCAGGAATGCTCTTCCCCATCCATCTGCATAGCTCACTCTCTCACCCCCACAGGGCTCTGCTCCTGTCACCTCCCAACCCTGCTCCATCTTTCTCCAGGAAGCTTGTCACTACCCACCTCTGAGGGCTTCTTTTCGTTCTGCCGGGGCCAGCCCGACTTGGTGCTGCTGGGCAGTTTGGAGCATCTTGATGCCGATGTAGATGTAGCGTGACCTGAAGAGAAAAGAGCCCGTTAGGAGTCCTGGAGGGCCAGGAACCCCCATCCCACTTCCCCACCCCCATGACCAAGGACAGGAAGCCTGTAAGGAAAGCTCTGACTTGAATGTTCAGGAGGTGGAGACCTCTGTGAGCACCTGATGAACTGTCCCCGCTCTGGGCTTCAGTCTCTCCATTTACTGAATGGGGACACAAAACCTCCTCCACTCACCAACCAGAGGGGCTTGGGAAATCAAAGGCAGTTACCAGGCCAGTATCAGCTTATTGTGTGACCCCAGAAAAGTCCCTGGCCCTCCTTGAGCCTCTGTTTCCTCCTTGGAATAAACCTTCCATGCCCAGCCTCCACCCTGCCCTGGGTTAGGTGCTGTCACAATACTCTGGGATGGTGCCCAGTGGGTACACAGAGCAGGGCAGCACAGTAGGAGGAGTGCTGCTCTGAAGTAAACCCACAGCCCACCAGGCTTGAGCCCTGATCCAGCCACGTACTAGCTTGCCACCTGGGCAAGTGACAATCTTTCTGAGCCTCAGTTTGCCTTTCTATAAAATGGGGACAAGAGACTAACTGTCTTTAAAAGATTGTTGTGAGGATTAAATGATATCATTTCTGTAAAGTCTTAGCACAGTCCCTGGTACACAGTGATTCTTCAATAAACATTAGCTACTATAATTACGGTCTAAGGCCCTTGATGGACTCCAGGACTGTGGCCTCTGCCCCTATAGGTCAAAAGTGCATCAAGGGCCCATGCTTTGGTTGAACAGGGTAGCAGCGATGAGTGGGCACAGTGGTGAGGACTGGAAAAGTCAGCTCCAGCCTGGTCTGACCTTGATGCAGCTACGGGGCTCAGCTGCCCAGATTCCCACTCTTGCAGGTGCCTGACCCTCTCAAAGGGTTCCTCTGCCTGCAATAAAGTTACAAGTGGAGGATGTGGTTCTTTGTTCTACTGAGCCAGACCACAGGAAGCGTGTTTGCAGCCCCAAATGACCAGATGCTGTGATCTCCTGCTGCAGGGATGCAGGGCTGGCCAGGTTGAACACCAGAGCCAAACTGAGCAAACAGGACCCAAAGGACAGCAAATGGAACCTCGGGGTAGGGAGGGGCTGGGACCTGACCAGTCATCACACCACGTCTGTCCTCAGGCTCTTGGGGGCTATGGCAACCCTGGGAGTTAGGAGGGGCCTCAGAGACCCCACTAATCCCATTTGTTTCCCACACGTGTGAACAGGTCTAGAGGTACAGGGCTCCAGGACCAGCTCCCCTAGCATTGCCGCCTCGTCCTTAGCCTGGGCCTCACCAGGGCAATCACTGCTAGGTAGGATCTTCCTGGCAGCATAACTCTCCTACCCAGGGCAGACGAACTCCTTACTCTAAGCAGGCCAGGCTTGCCAGGGCATCCGGGAAGAGCTGCCTTAGGACCCTGTATCAAAGAGCTCTCACCTGGGCCGGCCCGTGGCTCACTCGGTAGAGTGCGGTGCTAATAACACCAAGGCCCCGGGTTCGGATCCCACATAGGGATGGCCAGTTCGCTCACTGGTTGAGCGTGGTGCTGACAACACCAAGTCAAGGGTTAAGATCCCCTTACCTTTTAAAAAAGGGGATCTTTAAAAGGTCATCTTTAAAAAAAAAAAAAAAAAAGAGCTCTCACCTTACACAAATTTCCTTTCTCTTCTCCAAATTTCAGGAGAGGCTCCCTAAACCCCACTTTCTCCTTGACAACGCACCCCACCCCCCCACCCCCACCCCCAGACATCCAACTGACACATCCACCCCATACACAAGTCTACCTTTGAGATTCTATTGCCAAGATCCCATGAAGGTCAATCTTCTTCATTAATTTCTTCGGCAAACATTTACTGAGCACCTATTATGTGCCAGATGGTAGCTGGGAGATACAGCAGTGAGCGAAGACATGAACCCGCTTATCACGGAGCTTACCACTGGTTAGGAAATGACACTTATCCAGGAATTATCATAAAAAGTGACAGGTTTTATAATTGTTGTGTAGAGACTTCCTATAAAGACCCTGACCCAACACCTGCAAAGGTCCAGAGGGGAGCTGATCTGTTCCAACCAGTGCAAAACAGGTAAAGGGGAGACCTAAAGTGTAAGGGGGAGTAAACAGGACAGCAAGGGTCTGGAGGGCATGAGGTGTAGGGACTTCCTTAGGAGCAGAGCGACCTGACTTGACTTACGCTTTCATCAACATGACCCTTGGTCAAGCTTAGACTATGGGGCAGCCTCCTCCCACCTGGGCCTGTGGGCCTGATCATTATTCAAATGCTTTCCCCGTAGGAGAAACAAACTGGAAGGCCTTACTGTCAGTGGTGTCAGAGTTGTCACTGCTGATAGAGTATTTTCGCCTCTTCTCTTCCATCTGCAACAAAAGGCAGACCCATTATACTCACGGACAGCTTGGGTAATGTTCAACCTCTCAGAAAATCACCCTGTAACCTAAAATGCCTCATAACCTACCTCCCCACACTCACCCCCCTGCAGAAGAATGAGAATAAGGCCCTGCCCCTGGTCGTCTTCTCTGCCAACTGCACCCTCTCCCCACCCACCCACCCACAGGGGCCCTGGGGGTCGGGAGGAGAGGCTGCCATTTCCCATCTCCTGAGCCCAGAGCCCTCAGACGAGCAGGGGTCTGGCCAAAGATGACACAGAAGGAGGGCAAGGGGAGGAGTCAGCAGGCCTAAACTGAACAGTGACCATGACCTACCCAGTCCCAGCTTCCACTCAAGAAAACTCAGGCCCACCAGAAAATCCACTCCTACTGCCAAGGCCTCCTGAGCCCCTCCAGGGAGTGAGGCGGGAGAGGAGAGAAAACAAGCCTGATTCTTCCAGGAGAACCATGCTATCCAAAGTTAGGGACAAGCCAGCACAGTTCTGAGAGTGGCAGCCAGCAGGGGGAGGGAAGCTCCAGGCTGGGTCCCTGGGACACATCAGGCCCAGGATGACTGGTCCTAGGCTGGGCTGCGCAGCCCTCCTACCCCACTGCTCTTCCCAATATGAAAGTACAAACCAACTTTATCTCAAGTGGAATGTTTGACTTCAAGGTACTAAGGGCCACTCTCGCATGTGGACTTCACAAGGAGCTCACGGAGGGTGCTTCCTTTACCCATGCTATCTTGAGTTCCTAACGGCCCAGCAAGCTGTGGACTACTAGCTCCATTTACAGGTGAGGCTCAGTGCCTGTCTGGCTAGTAACTGGCTGAACTGGGATTTGAGTCCACCAAGGTCTGATCCCTGAGCCCACACTGAGCTGCCTTTGTGCTCTCCGCCAGCTCCTGCCTGTGGGAATGGAAGTGTTTCCCCACTACTTCCTCTAATCCTGCAAGAGTGCTGGGTGGGAGAGCACACCGAGCGGCTTGTTAGCCTACTCTGGGCCTCACAGCTAGTTGGTGGCTGAGTCCTAGTGTGAGAACAGATCCCAGGCTCAGGGATCAGAGCCCTTTCCATCACTTTCCTGTTAGTGCTGGGGCTGCCTCACTGCCCACAGCAAAGGACAGGGAAGGAGTCTGTGTCAGTATTGAAAAAGCCCTGAGGCCCAACCCACCTACGGGCCAACCAGGCTCCCGACCCCTGCTTGGGATCCCATCTACCACCTAACACCTACTGCCCCCACCCCCAGTCTGTTCCCTCCAATCCCTGGGATGCCCCTATCTTACTGCAGCCCCGCAGAGACCAGGGAAAGTCACTCTCCATAGTAAAGTGTGACTACACAGATCTCTTGAGCTGAGGAGGACGACCCTTCTGCCTTGGTCTTGACCTCAGTCAGATGACCGTCCTGCCTCCAACTTGACCTCAGCCAGGAGCTTCTCTCCACCCCAGTGCCCCCAAAAGCATGATCAGGATAGCAAGAAGGCTCACCGGGGCTGCTTACTGCCCAGATCCAAAGGTGCAGGCAAAGTGCTCTCTCCAGAGGGTGGGGCACTGCGGGACACCTGGAAGGTGCAAGCAGCGTGGCGCTGGGGTGGCAGGAACAAGGAGGGCTAAGACTGCTAAGCGCTCGCTGTGGTGGGAGGGGGATGCCCTGATACACAGGGACCTCACTAAGCCCTCAGGACAGCCCTTCACTGCGGGTGGACATGACAGCTGCCTCCCTTTTACAGATGAGGACATTGAAGCTTGGAGGTTAAACGACTTGCCCAAGATGATGGTGCTTGTATCTCACACAGGACACCATGCTCTTGACCTTCAGACTTCCCTGCCTCTATGAGGCGAAGTGCAAGCAGCCCAGCAACCCACACTGCCACCCTCGCTGCCTTCACGGTCTGAGTGTCAAGAATGTGACAAAGGCTGACTTTGACAGGACCCTGACTCTACTCTTGCCCAGCCCAGCCTGGCCCAGCCTGGCCCTGCCTTGCCAGTGGTAGGGTCCAGGGAGAGATGTGTGATAAACACACCCACCCATTTTCTCCTGTGGTTCTGTACATGAATTCCATTTCTTGTCATTTCCAGCCAGGTTCTCCCACAGCATTAAAAGCAGAAGCTGGTGGGCCGGCCCGTGGCTCACTCGGGAGAGTGCGGTGCTGATAACACCAAGGCCCCGGGTTCGGATCCCATATAGGGATGGCTGGTTCGCTCACTGGCTGAGCGTGGTGCTGACAACACCAAGTCAAGGGTTAAGATCCCCTTAACAGTCATCTTTTAAAATAAATAAATAAATAAATAAAAAATAAAAGCAGAAGCTGTGAATTCAGGGGTGCTGGGTTCAAATAGTAGCTCCGCCCCTTGCTAGACCAGGGACCTTGGCAAAAACACACCTCCCTCCCAAAGGACACAAACTGGATCTGGATTTTTACATAAATCTCAATTTAAAATGTTGGCAATTGAGTCTGAATTTTTTAAACCCTTTGAGAGAGCCAAACTAAACACATCTGTGGGCCAGAATCAGCTGGTGAGAATAAATAACAGCAGAGTAAAGCCCTTAGCACAGTGGCTGGAGCTCCATATAGGTGCTAGTTATTAATACCCTGGCAACCTTGGGCCCGGTTGGAGAGTCCTCCAACCAGTGCCCACCTGGGGATGCTCCTCAGACAGAGGGGGCAGTGGCCCTGTACAGGAAGGAATGTCCCCTAGAAGAGATGCCTTGGCTGCCCATGCTCTCCTCACAGTGCTGTTTCCCACCGCCCAGGGACCAACAGGTGACCTGTCAGCATGCAGACCTACATTCCGCCCTGAGCCAGTTCCCAGTCCAACCTGTCCTTCACAAAACATCCCAGAGTGCCCCGGGATCCTTCTCCTGGGTCAGGGCTGCCCCACTGGAGGCTATTATTAAGGAGCAGATTTTGTGGTGGTTTAATTGGAGTCATAACTAGGCTTCAGAGGGCAGCCAGTTTTGTGAGTGAAGCTTCTTTCCTTTGAACCAAGTTTGTTCCAAAGGCCTACCCTGCCTCAAGTGAACTCTCACTGTCACAGTGGCTAATGAAGCCCCCAGTGAGGCCTAGACCCCCTTGAGAGACACCCTTTGCCCCATGAATCTCCTTCCCCACCCAGCCCAGCAAGTGGGGGGCAGGGTTCCCTCACCAAAGCTGAAATCCAGGGCTGCAAATGCACATGGTGGGGTGGAGGTGCTGAGACTTGATCTTGGCCTCTGGTTTTCCCTCTCCACTGGCCCCTCCAATCTCTGCTAAAGCAAGGTCTGCTCTGGGAGAAGAATATCTCAGTATGATAAGGCACTTGCTTTGAGGGGCCTGAGATCCTACCTATAATAAATATTTCCTATAGGAAATAAAGGGTCTCCTTTTCCTGCCATTTGCAGCAGCCCAAATGTACCTCCGACGCCACCCCTAGCACGCAGACACAGGTAGGAAGCTCTCCTTTGGAGTGTGGGTCTTCTAGAGTCTCCTCACTGGTGCAGAAGCCCATAGCCTGTGTGTCCTCTCCCTCCAGAACGCACCCACTTTCTTCCATCTCTGCTGTCACCACGCTAGTCCAAGCCAGCCTCATCATTTGCCTGGACCCCTCATTCATCTCTCAGCTTCCACTATTGCTCCCCTATAATCCAGGCTCCATAGAGCAGCCAGAGTGATTTTTAAAAAGCATAAATCACATTACATCATGCCCCTACTAAAAATCTTTCAAAGACTGCCTGATGATCAAAGGAGAAGTCTGAAGTTCCTGACCATAAGACCCTACTGGCTCCTGCGTACTTTAACAAGTTCACATTGACCACTATTCCCTTCTTTTTTTTTTTTTTTTTAAAATGATGACCGGTAAGGGGATCTTAACCCTTGACTTGGTGTTGTCAGCACCATGCTCTCCCAAGTGAGCTAACCGGCCATTCCCATTCAGGGATCCGAACCTGTGGCCTTGGTGTTATCAGCACCACACTCTCCCAAGTGAGTCATGGGCCGGCCCTGACCACTATTCCCTTCTTCACCACTTTCTAGCCATGCCGGCCTCCTTTCATTGTCTAAAACAAGCCAAAGATTCCATGCTTTGAGACCTGTGCACAGGCTGCACCCTCTGCCTGTAATGTTCTTCTATGTGGACTATGCATGCCTGAATTTTCACTCTTTGGGTCTGGACTTAAATGTTGCCTACATCAGTCTATGCTCATCACCTATCTAAAAAAATTTGCCACCCCATTATTGCATGTCTTCAGAGCATCCATCACAGCTGTGTTTGTCAAGCAACTTGTTGAATGCTATTCTCCTTGGGAATTTAAACCCCATGAAGAGTAAGGAGCGTGTCTGTCTAGATCCCTGCCAGAGCCCCAGCAACCCCTTCACAGTGCACCCTGCACATAATATGGAGTGCTGCTGAGTGTACTTTTGTCCCCTCCCTCAAAAGTGTCGGGACCACACAGCCCAGCTGGTCTGCCTGCCTGCGGCTTGCAGGAACAAACACCTCAGCCCAAGATTTTGTTCTGTTTTCACAGCCTGCCTTCCCTGTCTTAACCTCACACATTTTCCAGGAGGCTTTTTTGGTTGGGCTCCTGGCTAATGATCAATGTCAACTCAGTAATAGGGCAGCAATTTGGTGACAGATGTTTTCTTGGCAGCACTAGCCATTGGTCTTAGTGGGGGCCTCGACTTTGGACTTGAAACACCAATGCCCAATGCCAGCCCCCTTTAAAGACCTTTTTGCAAATAAACTCAAATAAACACCCTGGGCTTCCATTAACGCCCTTCCAGCTGACCCTGGGAACAGTGGGCCTTTCAGGCCCGCTACTGCAGCCGCTCCCTGGGCAGTTAAAACACCCCAAACTGGCCTCCGGCCTCTTCTCTCCAGGGGCCACTGGGCCTGCCCTGCCCGCCACCACACACAGCAGGATTTCGTCCTCCTCCTTAAAAAAGGAGAGGGGGGAGGCTTTCAAGCAGGCAATTTACCATTCCAGACACAATCTTTCAAAGAGAAACAAAAACT